TATCTATATATTATATTTTTATAGATATATATATAAAACAACAACACACACCAGTTAATGCAGTTAAAAAACAAAAATATTACATATACCTGAATCTGACTTTATTTCAGCCTTTGGCATTCCCCTGTACAGCAGCACTCAGACTGAGAGCAAGGGCCTATACTTGGGGGCAAACAGGTGTCCTGCATACTATCAAAAGGATGGCCTCTCCAGTCAGGTCACAAGCCTGGCTGTGCAGTTAGAGCTATTGTAGTAGCTAGTCTACAAATCTCTAAACTTGAACAAGTAACACAAGAGGGCAAGCATGTAAAATGAAAGTAATGCAAAAGTTGCTTTTATAAACACTGAAATAAGAACAACGTTTCTAAAATATGCCCCAATTAAAAACACATTATACAGTGGTACTTCGGTTCATGAACACTTCTGTTCGCGAACAGGAAGTTCGGCAAAATCTTGCTTCCGTTCGCCAACACCGCATCGGGTGATGAACACAACCGCAGCCCTCTTCCCCGCTCTGACACTGGTCGTGGCTTCCCCAAGTCAAGATCGCGGTCTGATCACAGTTTGATTTGCGAACAGAATCATGGAACAAATTAAGTTCATGAACCGAGGTACCACTGTACTTTCCCTTAAGCTGCACCTTTCAGAATTATTGAAACATAATTTTTTATAGAACTTACTTATGAATCTGGATGAGGTCTTGTGAGGTTTCAACCCAACTTCCACTCAGCATAGCAGCAAAATAACTGGACCTAGCACACAGGATAGCCCTGGAAACATTCAAAAACAGAAAAACCATGACGTGGAGGATTCTTTTTTTTCAGTTTGCGGGAAATCCAATAATTTAAATCAAATCATTCATAGTGGTTAGGTAAGGAAAATGGAGGTGTTTAGGCCAGGTGTCATTGAATACGTTATTTAAAATTAACAACAGCCCTGTTTAAAAGCAAGCAATGCGCAGTACAATGAGCGGTCACACAACCCAGATTGCTTCACAGCAAGCCATCTTTTTATAGCACTTTGATACCCTCTGGTCCAGTTTTTTGAGTGTTGGCACTGCTGAAATGCATACATAATAAAATGTTTTGAAAAAAAAAAAAAAAATTGGTAATGTCTTATAGTTAAACACCCAACATATTAAAAAGACACAATCCAGTTATATCAACTAGAGGCATCTTAAAATACAACATTTCAAAGTGGGAAAAAAAAACAGGCAGGCTTTTTACGACAGAAGAGACTGTCCAAGTCTTTTCTGCCATAGAAGCTTCTACCAGCCTGTGCGCATTTTTTTTAAAATCTATACACTGAGCTACGCATGCGCAGCTTAGTGTACAGGCCCAGGAGAATGCTGACGGAGATGAAGCAACTCCTGTGCACATGTAGGAAGTTACATCATCAAAGCCCAGCCAATGAAGTGGCCAAAAACTCAGAGCCTGTAAGAAAACCAGGATGAAGATGGAAGTGCCAGCAAGAGGAGAGCGTATTACAGCACTAGAGGGGATCGCTTTGGCAGGTAAGACAGCCATAATGTGCTAGTATGTATGGCAAAAAGTTCCTGGAGAGCTTTACTTCCGCTTTAAGCACCTAAATTCTACAAGTATACAGATTAGTAGAATTTAGGTGCTTAAAGACAAGGACAGTACTCCAAGCCAATTAGATCTCTATCGCTTTACACAGTGCCATCAGTTTATCACTAAACATGTTAAATTGGAGGAGCAAAGACACAGTCTCATCAATGCTGCTGCTTCTTCATTAGGCTAGGTTCCTTGATCAAGCTGTATTGCCTCACTGCAGGTCATGTACTTAGCTAGACTTATTGGCATGGGTGCCTGGATAACAAGTCTGGTTGAACAGAGTAATTATATTCTTTTTGGCAAGACTACTGACATACATGCATTTCAAATGTATATTTCGCTGGTTGCTTGAAGTCCAACTAAGTGCTGAAGCCTTTTGTCCAACCCTGAGCACTCCCCTGGTCTTTTTAATTAAAGCCCTATACATACTTTTTTCCTGCAGTCTCCTTGCTAGTCTAGTGATTTCATGCAAGCTTCCTTCAGGACTAAGCAGCGCTTAAGTAGTTACATGCAAGTAACTACTTAAAACACTCCAAAGACATGCTGGTGGGTTAATTGACTCCTCTCTAAGTTGGCCCTGTATGTATGCATGTGAGATGGGGACCTTAGATTGTAAGCTCCTTGAGGGTAGGGACTGATGGGAATGTGCAACTACGTAAAGTGCTGTGTAAATTGTCAGCGCTATATAAATACCTGTAATAAATGTAATAAATAAAACAATAAGTGCTGCATAGTCCTGGAGTACTGTGAGCCCAGCCTGCAAGATGAAACCCCACCCCCCAAGGAGCATGTAAACGACAGGCTGGGGTTACAAGAAATGGGCAGAATGACATGACTGTTCTGCCAAAAGAAAACTTCTGCTGCTGGACCGAGGAGGAAGCTGGGCACAGTGCTGGAGCATGGAGAGGGGAAAATGTGACAGCCCCCATTACCTGTGTGCATTGAAACATTTGCCTTCTATTTGGATTATGACATCAGTGTAATGAGAACTTTTAAACAAAGACAGCAAGTCCTTGCCAAGATTTGATGGTGGTTCACTGTTATATCTCCCTAAAACAGGAAAAATATATAAAAAGAATATGTAAATTGTGTGTTTGCAATTGCACAAGAAAAAAGCATTATCTAATTAAATCTCCTGCACAGTATAATCAATTATGTTTGCTCTAGCAGTCAGTAGTAATATTATCCGAGGTCTACATTCTGAAAATCTGCTGCCAAACCACATGTACATGAAAATGAAAAGACTACCAGTATTTCGACATTCACCTTGTAATAACTTTCAGTGGATTAAAAGAATACAAGTCACACATCATGTTTTCTTTATACTTTTTAGCCACTGCTACACATTCTTGTATCAAAAGGAGGGAATGCACTGGATCTGTTTCCAGCAGGAGTGCAGGTAAATACCATTAGGTTCCAGCATCTCTATGCCATGATTTCTCATGTGAAGAGAACACCTACAACTGTCGGCTGTCAAAGTGGTAAAAGGAGAACTCAGGCCTGAAGGAGTGAATTGCTCATCTTTAGAGGGAGCCAGACTAGAACTGACTGACAGGTAAGAATGGTCATTGTTCCAAGTGGACATCACTGAATGATCGATGACTATCTGCAGATTTTACCTAGGGCCTTCAAAAATACATAAATGCTAAATAATTACTACAAAGGGCAGGGGTGCAGCAGTAATAGAAAAACGGGAGCTTCAAACTACCGGGACGGTACCTCGTAAACGGCAAATCTTACGGGTGCACTCTATCTTGTCTGTCAGCGCCTTAGTGACAGATAAGATGTTTAGGTTCTTGGCCAGATGGTACTACAACCCGGAAATACACAAAATGCACCCATCTAGGTCGAATACCTGCTGGAGGGGGTGTGGAGAAGTGGGCACTTACCTACATATGTGGTGGACTTGTCCTAATTTACAACCGTTCTGGACTCAAGTAATTGCTAGTATTAAACTCATAACTAAATGTTTCCATACCTATGGATCCAATGGTATGTTTGCTTCATGTCACAGATGTCCCAATGTTGATGTAAAAAATTATTGATCCTTCCGCTTCTTAATGCCGCCAAGACTTTAATCCCCCTACATTGGAATAAACCAACTATCCCGACCATGGTGGATTGGCTCCATAGAGTTGAATATTATAGAACAATGGAAGAACTGACAGCAATTAAATATGAAATTAAATGGCAACCATGGAGAATGTTTAAACAGACACTAGAAGTCCCTGTGATACCTTCAGGATGATACCAGAGGGGAAATATTGGTATTGTCTAGCTCTTTAATTCTAATCCTCAGAAGGTTGATGAATAGGTTTTAAATATAAATATATGAAAATAGAAATGGATTTATAACTTATAAAAACGGTGTGAATAATTGCTCACCCCCCTCCCCTTTTTCTCTCTTTTCCCTTTTTTCTTCACTAAGTGGCTCTATTGTAGGGCTGAGTATTGTATCATGTAATGATCTGTGTCAATAAGTGAATTTTATAGATGTTGAGTAATTACGAAATTGAAATGCCTTTTTCTTTAATATGGTAAATATGTGTTTACACAATCAGATATTTAAATATGTGATTTTTGATGTAATACTTTTCTTGTTAAAATTAATAAAATTACTTTTTTTGGTGTGTCATTTTTAATTTTTTTTATCTTCTGAACAACAGGAACAGACAGCAATCCAAAACTAAAAAAAAATTTGTTTGGCTGGAGTTGCACTTAAAAAAAATTTAACGGTTCCGACTTACATACAAATTTAACTTAAGTACAAACCTAAAGTCCCTATCTTGTATGTAACCTGGGGACTGCCTGTACAAATAATGAATTACACTTTTTAAAGAAATCCCGAGAGAATATAAAGGTTATGAGGCCATTGATGGCAGAATTCAGTACCCCAAACACAAAGCTTTAAAAGCCCCCACAGGTCATCAGTTTAGAGATATGTGTAAATATTGGCCCTAGAATTATTGCTCACTCCATGGTGCACGGCGCTACCAAACATGTGTAGCGCAATCGTCGTTTTCGTACGTAGGCGCACCCGACACGTGTTTACGCGACGATGCACTTTTTTTCTTACTTTACTTAATTTGCTATCACATAGCGGGGGTTACAAGCACCCTATGTGATAGCATAATGGCAGTGACGGGTACTCTTTAAAGTGATGCTGGGGGTCCAGAAGACCCCCAGTGTCACCTTTACACTCTAAAAAAAGCTATTGAAGTGCAGATCGCACTTCAATAGCTTACTGCTGGGCTTCTGGAGCCCAGCATTGACAGGGATGGGACCGGAAGTGATGCAATACGCGCCGCTCCCATAGTACGGGGAGGGGGAATCGGCGCACGGATGTTCGCCCTCTCCTCACCAGCTTCCTGCCGACACCCGGCAAGCAGGTCATGGGCCCGTAGGAGGGGGCAACGGAGCCCAGGAAACAAGGCAGGGGTGTCGGGTGGGGGGGGGCGGCCTGGTTACTGGATCGTAGAAGCGACCTGGCGGCAGCTGAGCCGCCAGAATCGCTTCTACTGTAAAGCCGGCTCGACAAAACGCAACAGACTCCGGGCGGATTATGCCGTCATAGGTCGTGAAGAGGTTACAAGTAGAACTATGAGGTTTTTTTTATTAACCCTTGTAGTGGGGCTACCCCTGCATTGCAAAGGTCAACTGCTTGTTTGGTTGGTCTAGGGCTGAAAATGAAGACATACTCACCCGATCCTCCAAACTGGCATGCTGTGACAGAGCTTCCTGAAGCAAAGGAATGCCCCTTGGTGTCCTAACATCCTATACACCGTTTATAGAATGTGATGATTTATGGGACCTTAGATCACTGCATCAGAGGGGAAAAGATGCTCCAGGGACTGGTCTAAGAGCAAGCCAGCTTGGGGGATCGGATGAGTAACTGTTTTCAGCCTTAGACCAAAACGAGAAGTAGGGGATTGAATAGTGACATTTATTTACGGATATATATTTTTCACTATTAGTTTGTATGTAGTAGTTTGGTTACAGCGCCGCTCCATTTTTAGAACTTGTGCAACAGTTATGGGTCTATTCGCAAAGCTGCCGAAGGATCCAGCCGTAGCTTTGGCTGATCCTTTGGCTAGCTTCGGTTGCAGCAGCCCTTCGGTTGAGTCGAACCAAAGGGCTGCTGTATGGTCTATTCACTATAGCCTGTACAGCTCCCTAAGGCAGCCAAGCGGCTCAGCCGAACTGAAGGTATATGCTTCGGCTCGATAAGTGTGCCGCCCCAATGGGGCATAGAATATGTTGTAGAAGTTAGTATAGATAGAAGTTTTACATAGTGTGTTTGCCTATATATTTTCTCATAGTTAAATCCATGTGTTATCCTATGCTGCCATCTAGTGGCCTTTTGTTGTAATGTACATGTTTTTCTGTGATTCTTTGTGATGTCTACGATGTATTTCCTCTCTGTATGTAGCCCCACCCTTCTTCCTGTGTGCAGTACTTCCTGTGTCATGGCCACAGTTGAAAGCCACATGTAACAAGGACACACAGGTAATCTGCACAGTACGGAGGAAAGGCATAATTTTCTGACCGCACAATACTATAACCGTTCAACTGCTGTTCCTATCATCTGCTGTAATCCTGATGTAAAGAATAAACACCTCTTTTGAATGAATCGGTATTGACGAGTTCAGCTATCTGACGAGGATTGTCCGCAGTGAGTATATCTGCTTATACAGGCCAGGCAT